GACACGGGAGGAGGGGGATGCTGGAGGATGGAGACACGGTGGGAGGGAGACGAGGGAGGAGGAGGTGGATGAGGGAGGAGGAGGGAGACGCGGGGGGAGGGAGAGGCGGGAGGACAGAGACGCGGGAGGCGGGAGCAGGGTGCTGACAGTGTGGGGCAGATTTCACCTGGCTGTGAGGTGGGAGGCCTGGAGGCGCTGAGGAAGGGGCATGTGATGTGACGCAGACATTCACAGGCGCTCAGGCGGCTGGTGGTGAACAGAAGAGCAAGACAGGAGACAGAAGAGACTCAGGCCTCCCAGGGTCCAGAGCCGCGCTGTGTACAACAGCCAGGGCACACAGGCGACCGAAATGGGCATCAAGAGAGAAATGGGTGAAACAGGCACCACGCATGTATACGATGGAATATTGCTCAGCCAGAAAAGGAATGAAGTCGGTCATCTGTAGGGGCGTGGGTGGACCTAGAGTCTGTCATACAGAGTGAAGTGAGTCAGAAAGAGAGAAACAAATATTGTGTGTTAATGCATACATGTGGCATCCAGAAATATGGTACAGGTGATCTTATCTGCAATAGAGAAACAGAGATGCAGACATAGAAAACAAACGTATGGATGCTAAGGGGATAAGCGGGAGTGTGGTGGGGAATAAATTGGGACTAAGATGTACATACACACACTGTTGATGCTATGCACAAAACAGATAACTAACGAGAACCTACTGGATAGCTTGGGGAACCCTACTCGGTGCTCTGCAGTAACCATGGGAAGGAAATCCAAAAAAGAGGGGATGTATGTATATATATATAGCTGATTCACTTTGCTGAAGAGTAGAAGGTATTAATATTAATTATTAAATAGTACAACCTTGTGAAGCAACTATGCCCCAATAAAATGTAGAAACAAGCAAAAAGACAGAAAGCAGAGACCTGGGGGCGAGAGGCAGTCAGGTTCCAGGTGTCCTCTGAAAATGCAGGAGTGAGAAGTGAGGGGTGCAAATGAATTCAGAATTCGGAGCTGGGGAGAATAGATGGCCTTCTCATCATGGAGCTGGCAAGGCATGGATGTAAATGTCAGAGAAGATCCCAGAATGACTCTTGGGTTTTGGTCTGAGCCACTGAAAAGATGGAGCTTTCATCAGCTGCCATGAAGGGCTTCCCAGGTGGCACCAGTGGTAAAGAATCCACTTGCCAATTCAGAGATGTGAGAGACTTGGGTATGATCCCTGGGTTGGAAAGATTCCCCTGGAGGAGGAAATGGTAACCCACTCCAGTGTTCTCACCTGGAGAATCCTATGGACAGAGGAGCCTGGCGGGCTACAGTCTACAGGATTGCAGAGTTGGACACAACTGAAGTGACTTAGCACACACACATGCCATGAAGAGGACTGCAGGAGGACTAAAATCTGATCAAAAGATCATGGGCCCCATTGGGATAGACTGAGTGTGAGATGGGCATTTTATATTTAAGTGGAGATTCAAGTAGAAAGTTTGTGCAGGAAGCTGGAGATCAGAGGAGAGGTCCAAACTGCAGTTATATTTTAAAAGGTCATCAGCATTCAGAGAGCCAGCAGAGACATAAATGGATGTGGTCATAAGGGAATATAAAGAAAAAAAAAGAAATCCAATGGCCAGTAAGCCTAGAGCATCCCATCAAAGAAGGGAGAGATTTCGTCAGAGAGTGGTTTCCTGTTCTATGACTCAAAGAAATGCACTTCGTTATCAAAATGTCATTTTGCCTTAGTATATACTAAACCTAAAACATACAAATCAGGAAATGTCCATTAACAACCAACAAATCAGTGAATGATGATTGGATCGACTTTCGGTTCTGAAGATTGATTAAAATATTTTTATCCTAGGATCTCAGCACTTCAAAATGCTTTATTATAAGCCTCCAAGTCACTAGGAGTCATAGTTTATAAGCAAAATAGAAAAACTTCATGGGTGGAAAGGCATCATGTTGTCCTAAATGCTCTTAATGAAGACAGCATGACAGCTACCTGAAAATGTGTTTTGTGAATCACAGATCCTTAGAATATAAGCTCTTAGAGGGAGGACCTACGTACATGCTGTCTTCTATTATAGCATCTCACCATGGGGACAGGCCTTTGGCATTAATAAGAGTTAAACACTTTATTCCCTCAATGTACAATTTCCCTTAAGCCAAAATTCCCAGCAAACCAATAAAATCACATATCTGGAGGGAATGACATAAACTGCATTATGTGGCTTTAACCAAAAGGTCAACATTGAGAGTCTGCTTTTGGTTCCATTCCAGAGAGCCTATTTTTCCTGAAGTTTCATCATTTACTTTTATTTCTCTTTCAAAACCATCACCCTGTGATATATAAACACCAACCTCTGATTTTATTGATGCTGGGATTGAAAACAAGAAGTCTTTCCTCTTTCCTTGCTGCCCCTTGAAATAAGGCCCCAAAGCAGAGGTTTAGGGATGCTTCCTGGCTATTTTTAGAAGTGGCTGCAAGACTAAATTGTCCATCATAAATTCCTGGGGGGGAGGACTGCAGAGGTGATCAAGCTTGCCTCTGAAAGACAGTAACCCTGCCTGGGGTCTGAGTGACTGTGTGTCCTGGAAGCTGCCCTGACCGATCTGATAGCCTTGGGACACCTCTCAAAGGGTGCAAAGATGCATTTATGGAAACACACCAGCGATTGACATAAACATACCACTTCCTTCCTTGTTAGTTGCTTAGTTGTGCCCGACTTTGCACAAACTTGTGGACTGTAGCCCACCACTCTGCACTGTCCAGGGGATTTTCCAGGGAAGAATACTGGAATGGGTTGTCATTCTCTTCTCCAGGGGATCTTTCTGACCCAGGGATAGAACCCAGGTCTCCCGAATTGCAGGCAGATTCTTGACCGTCTGTGCCACGAGGGAAGACCAAGAATACTGCAGTGGGTTGCCATTTCTTTCTCCAGGGGATCTTCCCCTCCCAGGAATCAAACCTGGGCTTCCTGCATTATGGGTAGATTTCTTTACCAACTGAGCCACGAGGGAAGCCCAAATATACCGCATGGGCTTTCAAATCACACATTCCCTGGGAATTTGACTCCCCGCCAGCATATGGAACACCACTGTCACCAACAATAAGGCGTGGCAGGATATTCACACAGGAACTTTCATCTCATTGGCCGACAAGATCACCCCCTTCCCTGATGCACAAGCTGAGGGCTGAGCGATCCGCCCGCTGCCGCAGGCATTTTTAGGTAAGCACGAGGGACAAAGTCCTCTTTCCAGGAGATCTGCTTCTGGATAAGCTTCCTCTTCAGGCTTGAAGACCACGCAGAAAGAAAGCAACTTCTGACTCTGTTCTGAAAGCC